ACTCCGCGCGCTCAGCTGACCCAATACAACCCTACGTCCGTACAAATGACGAAGGCGCCTGGATTATGCTTTTCTCGTCCCACAACTTGGTTTTTCACTAAAGGGCGGCGCTTGGGAGGCGGGATCACCGGAAAAAAGAAGGAACCACTGAACCTGTTGCGCCTCATAGCGCCCCTCTCCTGCACTTTTTTGGCGCGAAACCGGTACCGGTGTGTTCGTAGCGGACTGCACCGTAACCTCCTGACGCCATATTTTTTAACTTCGATACCTCATCGCGGACTGTTCCTTTAAATTAAAGCCAGATTTAATGAAGGAAGATGTATATCAATGCGAGTAAAGGTAATAAATGTCCTTAAAACTGAGTGGTTAATTCGTGAATTGGATAGTTTTTAGTATACACATTTATCCCATTCACCGTATACTGAACCGAAAAATTGACGTTAAGTGTTTATCTAATGGATGAAGAAAAAACGAGTCTCATTCAGTGTATTAGAAACCATCATTGAGAGATTGCTTCTAGAATCGATAAAACAACATTCTTACAGAGTTCATACATTAACATCAGACTAAATATTGTTTGAGTCCACAGTTTGTGTAAACTAGCTAAAGAAATGAACCAATATAACACTAGACACAAGTGAGGCAGTTTACGCAATTACACTCACCATTCTTCACGGTAACCCCAAATCATGTGTTTGTTCCCTAGCGTATCTCACATTCTCTATGTCTGACATTGTTAAGAAACCCTGTCCGGTTGTTTTCATCTAACTGCTGTGTGCCATCCTCTTAATTCTTGTAACACGCTATTACGCAATGACATGAGTTTAAGGAATGATTTTAGGTATGTTTTATTAAATCTGTACTGGATTTCTGTTTCTAACTGACATTTTGATACATACAATTCACGTTCTAAATGCGTTATGCACATTTCTGCCATTCCGTTGTTGATGTAAATTGTAACTAACATTGGTTTATACTGTTGTAATCAATGAATATAAATTTCTTATTTTACTTGATATAAGTCCTTATTTTATCAAGGAAGTGCTGTCCGGTTTCGTATGATTTTTGATGCAGATAGCTATCACGGTGGCCTAGAAGGTAATCATTTGAAAAATTTTTTACTTAGGTATAATAATGTGGATTTATGCATATGTTTGAAGTTTATACAGCAGTATCGTGTTTTCATTTTATTGGTTATTGCGTATTTTCCTTCACATCCGACTATTTTTTTCGGAAGAACCTCTTCGATATTGATGTGTATCTATTACGAGACATGTCACTGGTAAGTTCCTAGAAAAAACAAGCGATGAAATATTAATTATATCAGATTAACCTACACTGTATTGCTTATGGTGACTAATTTTGTAACAGAATGTAGTTTGTGCGGGTTTTGACGTAGAGAATGTCGATCAGAGTAAGCGAACGATCAAACAACAGGAGATGGTAAACCGAAGTGCTTTTATCAAAATGTGTAAGGATCCTATCACTTCCAAATCCCGAAAGAATGTCTATAAAGGATTTGTCAAAAAAATTCATGACTGAAGTTATCAGGTAGATATGAACATTGTGAACGGATATGCCAAGACTTTGATTCAATAGCAGAAGTTCTTAGATACAACAATGAGAAGGACATTAACGCATTGTCATGATTAAAGTCAGCCGGATGCTCTGGAGGAACAGTGAGCTTGCGTGTGAGTTATCCAAGACTTATTAATGGTAATACTGTACTAATTTATAAGTATAGGGTGAAATGAGCTATTCATTTTGGGATTTCTTTTTGGACAACGAAACAAGAAAAATGGCTGTAACATAAAACTTCTTCGAGATCATACGATTTATCTGTCCGATATGGAGAACATAAGGTTTTTATTTATTTTTTATTTTCTTATTAAAAATGTAGAAAAAGGCTACTTAGATGTTAAGTAGTGTTAGTTTTAGCTTGTATGACTAGAAAAAAAGATTAAAAAGTACTGTATGGGAAGAAAGTCACCTGTACCGGAATTGTCTGTGAAGAGCGGTTACATAGTCATGAAAAAGAACAAAGGCTCTGATGAAGTTGTAAGTTAGATAATCTTTTAGTATAATATTAATGTGTTATAACAAAAAAAGTTTCAGATGCCGGGCTTAAAGACAGCCCCCGCGCTCGAGTAGTACATGGTCGTCCTTCCTTGTGCAAGTAGTACAGCCCCCAAGCTAGAGACTGTCCCACTCTATTCGTCTGCACAGCGAGCGAGAAGCGAGCTACAGCCGCTGTAAGTTCTAGTTGTAACGCCTGCTCTGTTGGACCGCCTTACTTGCTAGATGTCCTCCGACGGAGGCCACTCAGTTGTTCTTAGTTAGGGCGGCGGGCATTGCTGACATGGATAATTCTGCTCCCCTTTATTACAGTTTACTCATTGGAGGTGTATACATTCAATTCAACTCATTTCGCGAGGTGGTACGTGTAAAAAGCACGAGTGACGCAATATTCGTGATGCAAAACCTCGACGCACAAAACGTGCGCTACCGTAATCCCAAATTCATACACCGCACTGATAAAATTCCTTTTTCCTTCCAAGAGCTTTTAATCTGCATTTTTGTTGTTTTCTTTTTGTATTCGTTTTTTGCACTGGGTGATATAACTACTGTGAGATGTGATAGAGAGATTTGTGAGCAAGGGGGTGCACAGGAACCGCAGGGAGGTGTGAATGTGAGAGAGCGATTTTGTTTATGTTGTTCTGGAGGACGCTTCCTGCCTGTTTTCTTCTTTGGGAGATCACTTATCAGTTACTGTTTCATAATTGGAAAACACCTATCCATGAGACTTTTATCGCGAGAGCTGTCTTTAAGGGAAGGAGGAGAGCTCGGCGTCCCCGGGCGCTCCGACTGGTTTGCTTAAAAATATGAGGCACAGGGTTAGTTCAATTCTATCTACCATTATCAGCTGTTGTCTTTTCTTCTCACCAATCATCAATGCTCCCATCGCACTATATCTCTTCTTGCAGCAAACACCCGATTTCACAAGGCACGCAATCAGTTTTTTGAGGTTTCATTACTGAAGGCCTGCGCCATCATCACTCTAATGTTGTTTTTTGTAATGGGACGCTATATCAAGATTTTTATTGCTGAAGACATTCAGAATTCATTTAATAAACAGATACTAACGGAGCTGCTAGATAAGAGTTAACATTCCAAGCGATACATCATGTGATTTTACTTAACGTTTACAGTCAATAGGTTAGTTTTAAGATAGTGAACATTTTGTTACAATTTTTTGCTCATTAATTAAGATAACTAGAAACATCAAGTTATAAAGCACATGTTTTGGGCATTTTGGAAAGAACATTCATGACAACATAAAGACATTCTTCAGAAAGTTGACGAAAACAATTCAGTACTGCTGCGAAGGCGCTGAAGGACGTTGACGAACATGGCCAGCGTCGGGAATAGCACCCACAACGAAACTTCTCAGGGTCTTCACCACCTGAAACAGTCGCGTACCTTCATATCACTTATATCTATCTCAGTGTACATCGATTTTATCTTGTTTTGTATTTCAATGACGATTCCAGCCATTATGGAGCATGCAGAGGTGCACTGACGCCGTTTACTATAAATCAGTGAATGTGTGCATTGTCGGATTTCAAAGTACAAAATGGCGATCATCAGCTTATGAGGTGGACTGTCAGCAGCGCAAAAGTGTCCTACTTTCCCAAGTCGAGCGGCAGTGACGGCAAAAATTAGGCCGATATTAACGTTCTTTTTTTCTGCAACGGTGCTAACAACATTTTGGTGTACGATGGACATGAACAGAGGTGAAAGCGTTCCGCGCTTAATTTCCCATGGAAAACATTTCACTGCAGTAAGAATGATGCTCTCGGACACAATTGTGAAGCACGCGGAGGTAACTCAGTACGGAAATCGGTTAACAAGATCAAGGTGGGGACGAAGAATGATCACAGACATGCGGCTGTAAGATGCTGAAGCTGCACGCTGAATTCTGTCCATGTTTGTTTATGCTCCTGCCGCCGGCGTCGCCGGCTGACGACGGCGCGCCTCCTTCTGAAATACGGCACGGCTTCGCCAGGCAGGCGCGGCTCCCTCACGTTTACCTTCTTCCACACATTTCGATACACACCTAGTATCCAGCTTTCTTTTATCTAAACAGATGGTCAACATCCTTTGAACAATAGCATCACACCTGCTATTTTCAACACTATTACGGTAATGGTGAGGAGCGTTGATCAAGTGGACAGATGAGAGAAAAGCCGGGCATCAGTGAGCATTTGATCATACGATTGCAGATAGGCGTGATGAGCATTTGATCATACGATTGCAGATAGGCGTGATAGGACCACGCTCCGCAAGGATGGGCCATATCACAGAGGAGGTCTGAAAAGCGTGGAGTGCTCTGAAACCGCTTTAGGATTTTTCAAGACTGGCCCCGCCCACCTAGAGGCACGCTCCATCCACAACGCGTATGCCCCACACTTCGGAACCATGACCCCTCGATGACCTTGATCTACATCTCTCCGGTGTCTGGAGTATTTTGGAACCGTCTAGGAACTTTCAAAATTGACTCCGTCCACTCGGGGTACGCTCGCCCACAACGTATGCGTCGCGCTTCTCAACCGATGACCTATCGGTAACCTAATCAGTTTATCGCGGTGTCTGGAGTGTTCTGAAACCGTATCAGGAGCCTTTTGAATTAGTTCCGCCTACCTCGCTACACCCACAACGTATGCCTCGCGCTTCTCAACCGATGACCCGTCTCTTATTTTGAACTACCTTTCACCGGTGTCTGGTGTGCTCTGGAACGCTTTTGCGAATTTTTTTTTCAAAATTTGGCTCCGCCCACCTCGGTGCAAGCTCCGCCCACGACGTGAGTGCCTCGCACACCCCAACATGTAGTCACTTGGGGACCATGATACACTTTTTTGCGCCGTTTGCTTTAGGACCAAACTACGATTTTTTTGAACTGGTACCCGTGTTCGAATGCTTAGTTGGATTAGTTGGAGACCTCAGTCTGGAGTGGTCAGAGAGATACGAAAAAGCAATAGTAGAAGCGAAATCACCTCAGTCATGGACGCTCGTTGCGCTGGGTCCCATGCGAACACGCATTGAGTGAAAAATTCTCGTAATCGCTCCGGACAAACAGGTGGGAAACTCAAGCATTTCCCTCCCAGGACCTGAGTGGAGAAAATGTTAAGAGAGTATCAAAGAAAAAAGTTAGAAAGAACGGACCGCAGTTTTCACTTCAGCATTCGAGTAGCCTTCCCACGGGTCTCCACCGTTCGTGAAAATTTCGAAAGATAATACTCCGAAACTAAAGACGTCGGTTTTCAAGGAAAACACAAAAGTTGAGATAGTCTCCGGAGCCAGCCATTTGATGGGAAGCTTCATAGCAGTTTTCAAGACGTATTGAGTGCCGATGCGAGAGAGGCCGAAATCACTGATTTTCACCTGAAATTTTCCTTAAGAAATTAAGACGTATCACAAGGATTCATGCCTCCCTGTGATCAAACAAATAGGAAAAACGTGGGCCAAGTAGGACAGAAGCATACGACACATCACGCAATGGTCCGCCATGTCGTGTGTTGTTTTATTGTGTTCGCTTCATATTATAATGTTGTTGTATTCTATACTTTATATTATCACCAGTCGGATCACCCGGCTGCTGCCGGGTGCTCCTCCTTCTTTGTCACGGCCTGGCAAAGCCAGGCCGGCCTGGCTTCGCCAGGCACTCTTTCGAGGCGAGGTAGAGTGTGCAAAATACGTCTAACCGTCACAGTGCATTTTTCAGCAAAATGTAGAAAAATAATTGAAAATAGCTCGAGCGGTGGGTTAAAGCTGAATCAGTCGAGAGGATCGTGGACCATACAGCGCTTTGACTTCCGAAATTCTAATGACGTCAGAAAAAAGAACTACTCCGAGATACTTGACAGTGAATCGTTAAAAAGTGGCGAAATGTGACGAAATTTGATTTTCATCAAATTTTATCAGTTGGTATGATTACTTACCACACGTTCCTTCCACAAAAACTTTGGAATATGGTACTTCGAAAGCTCTAAAACCTTGAACAACGATGAGCAAGGGCTCTTATCAGTCCCTATCATTTGTTATAACTTTTTGTGACCCACCGTTCCTGACCCATTTCACCCCCTATATCAACTGCTGGAACCAACGCTGACTCTGCAACCAACGGTATGGAAACAGTGGCCTTATCTTTCTGACGCCCCTTATCCAATCTTATCAGATGCTGGCAGTTTTTGTCACCAACCTAGGTTCCTTTCCTAAACCCTACATCGTATCTTGGAAACAACCTCTTACTGTTGCTGTGACTCGCGTGATGGACTCAGTGACCATACCCTTCCAACATCCCTCGAATCTCATCAACAGCTGACAGTTCTGGTCATACACTACAGCGGGCGGAGCTTGCTATTATTCATATGGTGCCCATTTCAGAAATTTGTAGCTTGGCTCTGGAGCACTTCACGGAAAGGGAATAAGAAGATTGAGGCCAGCAAAAGGTCGCCGGTAAGAAATCGTTGGGCACAGAGGTTGTAAGCGGGGACCAGCACGAGGTAGGCGGATACAGGCAAAAGATCTGTAAAACGCCCCAAGAGACAGGAGAAAGGCACAGTAGAAGATTCTCGGTTGAGGAATGTGAGACACACATGTTGTGGGCGGAGCCAGCCGAGGTGGGCGGGGACAGAAAAAAAAATCTGTAAAACGTTTCCAGAGCACTCCGACCAGAAAAAGTGGATCAAGGCCAGCAAAATGTCGCCGGTTGAAGAATGTGAGACACACATGTTGTTGGTGAGGCCAGCCCGATGTGGGCGGAGACGGACAAAAATTCTGTAAGACGCACTTAGGAGACAGGGTTAAAGGACTAAGGTCAGCAAAGGGACGCCGGTTAAGGAATGTGAGGAACACATGTTGTTGGTGGGGCCAGCCGATGTGGGCGGAGACGGACAAAAATTCTGTAAAACGCACTTAGGAGACAGGATTAAAGGACTAAGGTCAGCAAAGGGACGCCGGTTAAGGAATGTGAGGAACACATGTTGTGGGCGGAGCCAGCCTGAGGTGGGCGAAGTTAAACAAAGGTTCTGTAAAACATGGGAGTGGATAGTGGCCAGGAGGAATCACCGATCAACGCAGCACACAGACGTTGCTGGCAGAGCGTGCGACGAAGCGGGTGGAGCCAAACGCAGAGGTGTGTAGAATGGTTCCAGAACAGAAACCAGACACCGGCAAAAGGCGAGCAAAAAATGCGCAGGAGCTCCGCTATTAAAGCGAGATCTGCGCGCCCATTCTGTGCGGAGCTGTGTCGATGTTGTGGGCGGCCGAAAGTCAAAAATTAACGAATCAGTTGCAGAGCAGCATAGGAGACATCCCAATGAGGGCAGGCTGCTTTCTGGATGAGCGGCGCTTGCTGCAAAATTTCCTGGTTCGGATCTGAGTGAGCTTGGAGACCAGGAAAAACTTTTGGAGAAGAGAAACACATAGCGAAAGTTCAGCATGTCTGTGCTGTGTTGAGACCAACCGCAGTGGGTAGAGCGTGTTCTAAAGCACGCGGTCCCTATTTTCACTGCGTTTTAGTGCATGGGCCGCCATATCTCGAACACCTGTTGTCACAGGTACATTTGATATAAGTGAGTTCGCTGGCTGACGCCGGCGCGACTTCTTAACTAATACGACCAGACTTTGCCGGTGTCGCTTAGCTTCGTCGCGCCCTACCTGCATTCCGTATGTCTGAATGATCAACTAACACCCGCTTTCTCTCTCATCTGCGCACTTGATCAACGCTGCTTACCACCATTTCATAGACGGTAATAGTGTCAAAGGCAGCACGTATATAGCAGCCCGTATTGGTCAAGGAGCGTAGACTCTGTTTAGATGTGAAATAAAGGCTGGATAATTGTCGAGTCCCACTGTAGAAAGAGGTAAGCGCGGGGAAGCCGTGCCGCATCACGGAAAGAGGCGCGCCGGCGTCAGCCGGCGAGCCGCTGGTACAGTAATAACAGAATAGTTTATTTACACGTTCGCATTAATCTTTCACTCCTGTACTAATCGAACCGTCGAATAGTGCTTAGAGTATCCTATGTCGAGCTGGCTATTTGAAATGAAATGTATACTTGCTGAAAGGTCTTTGGACGGGTATGACGGAACTGTTTCCAGCATCTGCTGCGAATCTCTCAGAGGAAAAGTTACGGAGCTTTTTAGGGGGAGAATACTCGCATTGTACGAACTGGCAGCGTAAGGCTGATGCTGTCATAACATCGTGACCGAGTGGTTATGTCTGCGCCTCACCAATGCGTGGCCGGAGCTTTGGATCCTTCATGCATTTCCTCTTTTGCTTTTTTTTCAGAAAGTGGTCTCTGTACACTTCGAGGCGATTTTGCATAACCGTTGTGCTTGATATTGTCGCTGGCGTAATGTTTCTGAATTGATGGAGCCATTGTGGACGATTCAATAAAGGACATTTTTTGGCTGTAGACTTATCCCTTCATTGATTTGAAAAACATATTTTTTACAACAAGATACATTCCAACGAATGCGTTTGCCCTGGAAAATAACTTTATACTCCAGAAAACATGACTGACCGAGTCCAAAACCGCACGAAACTGTGCACAAAGACGAGTAAAGTTGGAAAATACTTTCAAATGAGGTAGCGCTGAGGTGGCAGTCATGCTGAGATCGCGACGGGCAAGACTTTCACTCATCACTCACATAGTGTCGAAGGATGTTGTCCAGTGGTGCTTTCGCACCCGCTGGAAGTTTTCAGCTTGTATGACAAATTCTTCAGCCAGAAATGTTCTCCATGAAAGCGTTCGCAACGGCTCCATTAGTTCAGAAGCATTACGTCGCTTACCAAGCACAGAAGTTGTGCAAAATTGTTTAGAAGTACACAGAGATTATGCCCAGATAAATGCAAAGAGCACACGCTGGCAATGATACAAAACCTTTGACCGGACCGCGTTCGTGAGCCGCTACGACGTAACACTCGACCATGCTGCTACGTCTCGAATCAGCCTCACGCCTATAAATTCGTACTGTATGATCAGTCTTCTGCTCCTTCTGAAAGGGCTCAGTAATTTTTTTCTGGAAGGTCCGCTGCAGATAGGAAGAAAGTAAGGGAAGGAAAAAAAAAACAACGAAATAGTTCGCGTTATCCCCGTCCAAAGACGCTATTACAGCCAGTATCACATTGGCATATTCAAAATGGGATCGCCCTTCGACTTTGACAGCGCTCAGCACTTGTTAGGTTTCGATCATGCGATAGCATGTTGTTAGAGAAGTTAATGTGTAAAGTATTCCTGCGCAGAGGCTACCTTCGGCAGACGTTCATAGGTAAAAACTAGAGCGTGCGCAGAAAGAATAGACGACAAGTTCGCAGGAGCTGATATACGCGGCGGACAGGACGGGAACACCTATTTGGTGGTAGGTAGAATGTGATAGCAAGGCTTGATAAGTCTTGGCGATAAGGGGCTCTTAGAAGGGTCAGGGTGAGGCGCAGAGGCCCAATAATGCGGGTCACAGGTAACAGTGGAGCATTGTCCAAGTATGATATATGGACGTCGGACAGGAAGGCATTATTGAAGGGTACAGGGAGATGAGAGCGACCTGATAAGAATTCGATAAGGGCCTTAGAAGGGGCCGGTGACCGGCCGCATAAGTGCTGGGACACAGCATCAGCATAGGCATTAATTTCAGAAAAATGATTATAGGAGTTGGAGTAATGGGGACAGCGGCACGTGAGGTGATAAAGCAAGCTAGATAACGGAACGTTGCCAGATCTCGTTACGTCAAATTGCTGAGGCCTTTACAGCTAACCAAAGTTATATGAGTTTCAGTGATAGGGAAGCAATTAATGACGGGTACAGGATCTTATCAATCGAATAAAGCATACGATAAGAGGTCATATCATTACCCTGCCTTATCAACTTATAACCCCCAAGTATGCAAGGCTCAGTGTGCATGCTTTTCTTAGCCATCACTTGCCCTGATAGCATAGAAATGAACGTCGATCGGCTAACTATATAATGTCGATGAGCGGGGAGGGGCGGGGGAGGGGCGGGCCGGGGGGGGGGCGGCGGGGGGGGGGCGGGGGTGGGGAAGGGGGGGGGGGGCGTTATGTAGTTCGTCTGAAAACGGGAATTCGCATGGGAAATTTGAAGGAGAACGAAAAAACACTTCAACGAGGGGCAGGATCGCATGGCTAAATGAAAAGCAAAGCCGTTCGTCGGTAGGCATTCCGGTGCAAGTAATGGAAAAATCTGCTATTTCACTGAGCCTTAATATTGCGCTGTATTGGCCGACTACATATTGTATCTATCTACAGTTTATGTATTCTAATGGCGTCATGGCGCGGACTACACCGCCGCTGTAAATAGAAGTGCGTGCTGAGTTGTGCGGGATCGTAAGCCTTGCTCTGTCTGTTATGGTTCGATCACTACAGCGCCTTATGAACAGCCCACTGCCGAAAAAATTTCGTTAAAATTATGGACCCACCTGGCAAAGCCAGGCCAGCTCGGCGAAGCCGAGCTCAAGAGAAGGAGGAGAGCACGGCCTGAGCCGTGCGATCCGACTGGTTATTAAATAATGTGTGGAATTGTTTTATCACATGGGCATGTTTTTACTATGCGTTTCTCTCTAACGAATTACGATGGGAGCGACAACGACAACCTCAGATATAAAAATACCAGCCGGCTTCGCCGGCTGACTCCGGCGCGCCTCCTAGGATACCGCGCGGCTCCGCCGCGCTTTCCTTTTTCCACATATCTCATTAGCCGCCTAGTATCAGGCTCTTCTTTTACCCGAACAGGTGGTCAACATTCTTTGACCAATAGCATCATACCTGCTCCTTTCAACACTATTACGGTGTATGGAGTTGATCAAGTGGACAGATGAGAAAAAAGCCGGGTATTCAAGCATTTGAGTCGGTCAACAGTCAGTCAGTCAAGCATTTGATCGTACGAATGTAGGTAGGCGCGATGGAGCCACGCCCCGCGAAGCCGGGACGTGTCACATAGAGGTCCGGAGTGCCTGGAGTGCTCCGGAATCGCTTGAGGAATTTTTGAGCCTGGCCCCGCTCACCTTGACACACGCTCCACACACAACAGCATTCTGTCGCCTTAAAGCGTCTTGCTTTGGAATGCACTCCCGCATTCAGCAACGGAACGCTCCAAATGGCCCTCGATAAGGTTGTTAATGGAAGATAATTGTGGTAAGCGTGATTAAGTGAATTGATGCTGTTCATAACATCTCCGTAAACAAACCCCATGCATTTGGAATAGAGCTAGCTTAGCGGTCGTACATGATGTCGTTGCTAGTAAGCAGCGACGAATGAGTTCTGTTGGAATCATTGAGATCGTTATACTTTAGTCAATCGATCGCGATTGTTGTTGGACGGGTGAAGCGATTTTCCGCATGGTACCCTTGCCTACTTTTAAGCCCCTAATCACTTTCCGCAATCGCCAGTAAATATTCCGTCCCATATCACTTCATATATCACCTCTGTATTCGCTCTTCGTATGCCGAGGTCCCACTGTTGCGCACCTTCCTAGCGATTTGATGAACTTTCTCTTCCGAAGCTACGCTTATCGTGATCTTATTCAATGTTATCACTTTCTTGTCGCCGCGCAATTATGATGTTCCCGTTTCCACAGTCCCTATATCATGCTTACGCTAATCTGAGGTCCCCACTTGTTCCTGTGAGTCTCACTGTGATTTGGTAAGCCCTTCACTTCTAATGCCCATTATCAGATCTTTATCAGCTGATATTCACTTCCTGTCACCCTACATTGTGTTCCGTCAGCACCGCATACAGCACTTTTAAATCAATATCTCATGGTTACGTGCGGACAGGCGCTATGAATTTCGTGACACACAGACAGCACCCACAGTTACAGAACATTACACACACACTTACAGGACATACTTAGCGGATTATATAGAGTAGGATTCACGACTGAAAATGATCAATCTCTGATAAATGAGTTCTGGAAACGTTTCCTATGTCGAACGAATATGCCATGGCTGCAGTCCACGCAAAACTTAAAGCGGGTCTGATCTCATCGCAGGCTGTTCCGCAAAATTATTGCTACATTGACTACCTAATAGCACGAACGAAACGAAAATGTAAGCGCTGTAACTTGACCGCTGTTTCATTACTGTGATAAATTATTAAACGAGCGTTCTGTGTAATTATGCTACTATATATAATCCGCTATGTCTGTCTGCGTGTGCGTCTGTTGTCACGAAATTCCGACCAACGGTCCCATTAGCTGTGGGAAGTTGATTCCAAGAAATGATATAGGAGCTACGACGGAACATTATCGGTGAGTGACAGGGTTTGATATCAGCTGATAAGATCTGATGAGAGGCGTCAAAAGCGGAAGCTCATCGAGTGCCTAGCGCGAGTCACAGCTGTGGTGGAACGTTAGTTAAAAAGTATGATATAGGATGTGGGTTAGAAAACTCTTGGTTGTTGGCAGGGAGTGTGTCAGCTGATAAGGTCTGATAAAAGGTGTCAGAAGGGAAGGGTCATCGAGTCTAGCACGAGCCACAGCAACAGTGGGACTTCAGTTCTAAGGTATGATAAAGGGTATGGGACACTATTGAGACATTATTGCTAGCAGCTGAAAGATTTGTCAACGGAAGTCTGAATTGGAAGGCCACCATATTCATAGCGCGGAATACAGCATCAGATAGGCGCTGATTCCAGCAAGTGATATCGAGGGGGATGTGAGAACTTCAACGGTGGGTTACAGAAACTGATAATAACTGCTAGGGGCTGTAGTAAACCTTTACGTCATTGTTCAATCGAAGTCCTAGAGCCTTAATACTACGTGCATTATACACACGTAATGATGTCGAGCGGCGGGGAGGGGGCATTCCAGACACACGTGATATTTTCTTAACTTTCAATCTTTTAACTACGGATGAGAGTGAATGAAAGAGGAAGTGAGGAAGTATTAAAAATGTAGAAGCAGCGTAGCTCAAATATTAGCACCCGCTATCATTTATATGACTTTAGCGATTGGACTGCACGTAAATGGAATAGGTTATCGCCTATTCTAGGCGTTTCGATGCAGGTAATGGAAACGAAATTCGCTCATGCACCGAGCTATTCATATTGCGCTGTACTGACCGACTACACTTTCTGTCTATATCAATGCATAATATACGCGTTATGGCTCAAATCACCACCCTTTATGCAAATATAATCGTGGACGGAGTGCAGAATCCATTGGGTTCTATTTATTACGATTCGATAAATACAGCGCAATACTATGAGCAGCTCAGTGAGTGAATAAAGTCCGTTTCCTCTGTGAAAATCGTCTGGCGAAGCCAGGCTAGCCCAGCGGAGCCGGTCCGAAGAGAAGGAGGAGTGCTCGGCGTCAGCCGGGCGATCCGACTGGCAATAACAGTAGTTGTTCTGTGGAACACGTATTGAATATGGATCAGTATTCGTGATGCCCCCTTGACACAGACAGACTTTGAATTCGAGACTGAGTCAAGTCGAAGTTGGTAGAGGAGAAAACTTCACCCAATGCACCAACCGTAAAACCTTTGAGTGCGATCACCATTACGTCAAATACTCTTCATCAAGTTATCCAGGAAAGAACTTGACACGGCACCAAATAAATCACAGGAAAGAAGTTCCTTCGCAGGATAGTTCGAAAATCTATTCCACGATTATCTCATTTATAGAGTTCCGTCCCTGTATGTGTAGTCCACTCAGCAAACTCAGAAAACGTTTCTTTTCAGGACTCGACATTGAGTGGCGAGAACGTCCTCATTAGCGAAGAAACTTTGCTCCAATCTTTGGACTGTTGAGTGCTTATTATTCTCCCGCTCTCAACAACTCCAACACAACATGCAGAGCAATGGCGACCTACAGTACAGACGACACGAACACCCTTACTCCTTAGTGCCCCTTATTAAACCATGGAAACTTAAAGTGCACATAAATCGGACAAAAAATCAAAAAGAGAAAAACGCAAGCGCTCGCTGCCAAACAATCGCAAGCAACAAGCAAGGGCAGCTGATTTTTTAGAAAAGGTGCATTTTGCGATGGACAAAGCTTTTTAATATATTGTAGTTGGAATATATTGCCTTGAACTGCACTGTTTCTGATGGAAACACAGTTTGCGATGTTGTACTAAACGTTTCGAAATATTTCTGGAATTCGGCACTATACCTTTCGAACGGTTGTCATTTTTTTACGTACCACTCTTTCCTTGGTAATGAGGCAATTTCTCGCAGCAAGATCTCGATGCATGCATTCATTGGAGTGGAGATACTCCACTCCTGACCCAGCTCCAATGCACATAACGATCTTTTCCTTCATTTCGATGCGCTCACCATATTCCCTCAGAAAGTTGTTCAGTGCTCCACCTTAAGAAAAGCTTGAAAGCAGTACGTCGGAATTACATACATCCAGCTTAATAAACCTATTTAATGGCATTTTCACCTATAATGACAACTGAGCACGACAAGTAACCACCGCCAATGTGGGCCACAACAGATTTTCAATTAAGGCTATCAGTAAGACACAGGAGATGGATTTGTTATGCCCTCACTGTAATTCTACTTGAAACTCATAGCTATTCACTTTGGTGTCTTATGGTTGGTGAAATTAGTTGCGGCTATTAACAAAAATTTCAACTAATGACTGCTCGCAAGACATGGAACGCAAAAAGAGTCAGAACACACTGACCGCTCCTCTACCAACCATGTACGAGCATACTTGGTTTCGCGTACATGTGTATTGTTTGTAATTCACAAGCCCAAGTTCAATTACTTCCTGAGTAATCGCAAGAAAGCTAAGCGCTCTCTAAAATAAGTCATACGGGAACAGTCAGTGTGGACGAGAAGGAGCGATAACAAATGATAGGGGCTGATACCGTCATATATGGAAAACCGAGTCACATGCTCACAGGTATGATGCAGATACACAAGTGTCAGGCCCTTATTAGTTGGTGGACAACAGCGTAAGAGTACTAGAGCGGAAGATACTCGAGATGTTCCTCTGCAGGAGCTGGCTCTCGTCCATCACCTTCATGTACACCAAAATATGAAGTCATCTCCAGTCGCAGCCTGGAGAAGACCTTTGCAATTCACGTCACCTCCAAACAGCTGCGAAACTTCTAGTATGGAATCGCCCATATAGCTACCTGGAGACCAGTACTCTCAAGATGACCTCCATCATCGAGGAGCTCCGACAACGTCGCCACGGTTTAGGACATCATCTTCACCACAGTCGCCAAGGCGCGGGTTGATGGTATGGACCGGACGTACCTCGAATGGGAGACCAATATTTTCTTCGTTGACCTCGGTCTGAAGGTGAGCGCTGGCGTTACATTGAGCAGCTCGTGAAAAATATCCTACTCACATGTCGTCGTACGTACCTTCTTGGAAACTTTGTACTACTACAGCATTGGGTGCCACCATATGGCTTCAATTATCCGGTATGGGCGGAGTTCAATAGGGTGGTCTACGGTGGCGGAGAAATCGTCTATCCCGCTGATCTCAGGCACCACATCGCGGTCGCGTGCCGAAAATCTCTCGGTGGCTTTCGTCCAGAAGTCTGTGGCGGAGTGTGATGTGGTATTTAATATGCTCTTTAATATGGTGGTGAATATGTCCGATGGGAATTTCAATAAAGTGCAATTTATAGCACCTCGAAAGTCAATGAAAAGAAGTGACTTTTTTTGCTCCCCCCCCCTGTAGGTGTGAATGAAGAACAAAATGAGAGGCTTGACAGCAGTCGTGGGACCTAATGTCCCTTAAGTTGCTTGAATTAGTGTAATCATCTCATCATCATCTTGGTGCGAGAAATTTCGTAATAGACAGGTTAAGGGCAGAAATGGGAGTACGGGTCAACATGTTGAATGAAAGAAGGACATATAAAAAAGTGGAATCGGCGGAAGGCCGCAGGCTTTAATCTCCCTAGAAACCATAGCGTAATATATGCAGGTGGGCAAAAAAAAAGAAAATCAAGCCGATTACATATCAGTAAAGTTTACACAGCCCAGATAAAAGACGTAGATCCGAGTACTAGGGCAGAAGGCATCCAAAATGTTTCTCGATAAGCAGAAGCAGCCTATAACCTTCATGTACACCAGAATAGGAAGTCAACTCTAATAGCAGCCTGACTGTAGACGGCCTATAGAATTCACTTAACCTCCAGACAGTTGCGAAACTTCATGTATGGAGTCACCCATCTACAGCTACCTGGGAAACGGCACTCTCGATTTGGTAGACCTCCAACATCGAACATTCCGACAAGGTCGCTATGGTCCAGGATATCGTCTTCACCGCAGTCACCAAGGCGCAAGTTGGTGGTATATGTAGGAAGTTCCTGGAATGGGAAGACCGATATTTTCTTCGTGGGCCACGGACTGAAAGTGAACGCTGACGGTTACATCGACCAGCTCGAGCAGAAAATATCCTGCCCTCATGTCGTCGCCTATGCCATCTTGAAAAGTTAGTACTGCTACAGGATTGGGCGATAGCACGTGGAATCGAAGAGTGTTGGAAAAACTCTCGCCCACTTGGAATCGAAGGGCGCTGAGAACCTGAAGAGAGCGGAATATCCAACTGTGCCACCAGCGCTGATTCGCCTCGATTACCGGGTTTGGAAGGAGTTCAACAGGGTGGTCTACAGTGGCAGAGAGGTCAACGACGTCGCAGAACTCAGGCACCGAATCACGGTTACGTGGCAGAATCTCCTGATGGCGTTCGTCTAGAAGCCTAGCGCGCAGTATCATGATGGTGTACAATGCACTGTTAAATATGCTGGTGGAAATGTCCAACCAGAATTTGATAAAGTGTGACTAATATCGCCTCAAAAGTCGAGGAAGAGAAGTGTCTTTTTTTGATTGTTCCCCCCTCCCTGCATACTTGCTTTGAGTCTACCAGTATTTGAGTGCAAACTAATAGGATTACAAGTTGTACCCTTCCTTTCCCTCCCCCCCCCCTCCTCCAACAAAAAATCTAAAAAAACAAACCAGACACAAGTTCTAGAATGATGAGAAGCGGTTGCTCGTCCACTGCCACACCGTAGAGACGCACAACATTTCTATGCTGAAGAAACGCAATGCAATAGGCGATGCTATTGCAGGATTATATATGAAGTATGCTGTACCTTGAATAATCGCATCAAACGTGCTTCCTTCATCATTTCTTTGATTTTTGCCTTGTCAAGTTCAGTGTGAGACTTAGTCTGTTGTACGAATTCGATACAGCCGAAAGATTTGCAATCCTATTTGAAATCTCTACCTGCTTTATGGCCACAGGAATGGTTCTCCCGGATTTGCCTCTTAACACGCCCTCTCGCACCACTCCGTAAGCTCCTTCTCCTAGAATTCTTCCTGGCTGAATGTCCGAGTGATAATATTCCCATGTCTGTTGGCGAATAGGGTATAGAAGCATAAATTGTGTCTAAATTGGGCACAGTTATTGCATGACTGAACTGTGATAGTGTCACTCTATTCCAGAGAAATATTCCTGTTTGGTTGAGTGTTGAAAATATAGGTTAGTTCGCTGCTTACGGTTGGGCGTGTCAGGCGGGATGAGTTTGGCGCGGTGCCAAAAACGTCCTCCAGCAGTTGATAAAGGGAGCAAGTTATATGACTATCATATCGTTCGTATTACTCGTTTTCTACCTCTGCTTGTCGCATGCACGCTTTAGCAAGAAGGCAGAGAACGACTTTGACGGTGTGCACACTCACTCACCGCACTGCCTGACACGCCCAACTGTCCGCGGCGAACTTGAGTGTATCCAGCATTCGTTGGCTTTATTTCATAAGATGGTGGTGCGCTCTTGTGAATTCCTGTCAGACCGTGGTGAAGATACGAACGATGCGATACGCAACGAATCATACCGATACATTTTGGCCATGTAGCAGGGAGCAGTCGAACATGAGTAAAAGCGGTTCGGCGTTGATCAGTATTTGTGAAACGCGCAAGCTTAGCCTCTCAGCCTTCGTCAGCCGCCACCTCGATATTGGGTCACCGCGCGCGCGACCTGGTCGCGTGGCGCGGCGGTGAGCCCTGACCTGGCATTTCGCCAAACTCCGATCGATATGACGCTATTGCAGTTCGTTTTGAGCTTTACTTCTTTCATATGCCAAAAACATGTAAATAAGTCCAAACATGTCATCGACGCGCGCAGTGAGCTACTTTCCAGTGCGGCGACCTTCTTTCACGGTGACGGTGACTCCTGGCGGTCTCCCTCGTAAGGGTGTTGAGTGCTAGCTCGAGCAGCGAAAAAATTCTCCGAAGTCAACTTATGAAACGTTTTAGGAGAACATTTGATTGATTTAGGTGGACGCGATCTCTCAGTCGTAGAATGTGTTACAGCGTCCTCTGCATCGTGCTGATTCCACTCAATTAGAGGCGCAGGGCACGCAATTGCGTTGTGATCATTTCTTGAAATACGACCCCCCTAATTCCATCTTCAAGTACGACCCCCCTCTCTTCTCTAAATTTTAACCTCCTATCACTTTGTCTAAATATTTCCCCCGAAAAATCTCTGCTTTTTTTCGCAAAATTTTCCTGTCGAGCCGTGGGGGATGCCGCAGTACTACGTACGTCCGCAACACGTCCAATCACTCTGCGCGGTGTAGCATACTGACAATACGTACGAGGAAGGGGCGATGATAGGAGCTACAATCACCGCCCACAAGGGCACCGTGAATTTATAAACAAACAAAAGGACTCACAACGTGACAATTGATAAACAGATGAAAGTACATTTCCGGACTTTTCTGATCGTAGGAGCAAATTTGCTTGCAATTGGAAACCCTATCTAGAAGTTACACCTTCCAAACACCTGCGTGGAAGCCCCATGCATGGCGCATTGCAGAGGTGATGCCTATTGACGCCCAGTGGCCTATTTCCCGATACCCTTTGCGAAAACATGTGTTTTAGAAGCATACCAAAGTCTTCAAGCCAACTGGAGGTTTCATGGCCTCGGAGCGGCTGATTTTTTGTGTCGTGGGGGGAGTGGTCACGAAATGATCACAACGGGGAATTTTTATGAATAGCAGGCCTAGAAAAAATATTAAAGCCTTGCTGGAAAGTAGAAATCTTCAAGCTTCCGGCACAATTCTTTTTTTTACGAAAGGCCGTGTGTGAAGCTTGCCATGGACGTCCAAAGCGTAACGACTCGCGGTTCGCAAAAATGATCACAGACGGATCACAACGATGACCACAACGGGGAAATCTCTGGGTTCGGAACTTTTTCGAAATCGCTCAATTCATGTGACAAGAGCCAACCTAGCTCTACTCATTCCCACTTACCATTCTCCGATAGCTTCACTTTGAACGAAGTTAGGGGTGTTCAAATGAGGGGTACTTTTCACATATTTGGCTTGAAATTGGCTCCAGGCCGTAAAATAGCGCGCACCAATGAGCTTGTATGAGCGCGCTGACCGCGAACAGCCAAAATTCAAAAGTAATCCATAGTTCCGGTTCCCAGCTGGCCTGGTGAGTTTTTTCTTATCCATTTGATTGTGAATTATTTTGATTGTTTGTTTTTGTTGAGTTTGATTTTCTTTTGTTGGGTTTGATTTTGTTGTAAGGAAATTGCTCAGGATTCAATTTCTACGGTCTCATAGGTAGCTTTTGCAATGGATTCTTTTCTAGATTTTGCGGATTAGTGGACTGGGATTTATCTAGACCAGATGAGGAGGGTTGGTGGGCGAAGTGTTTTGGAGTAGTCTTGCGAGGAAGGAGGGAAAAGTTTCAGCAATATTTTTTTAGTTCTTGGCCTAGGAATAGTTCGATAGCGCTAGTTCTATTTATTGTCATTTACATCGCCCCTTTTGAGCTTATTTTCACTTGTACCGTGTGCCACCGCTCTCTCCACTTCAATATGGGCCATGCGTTTACGACCCCCCCCCTCCATCGCGGGCAAATACGACCCCCCTGTTGTGATGATCACAAAGATGGCGTGCCCTGCTGTACATTACATGGGAGTGGAAAGCTTCAATAATACTGCTCTCTCAGGCTAATTTGCTTATTTCCAGATATGCCCAGCCTTTCCATGAGAAACAGAACTACTGTCGCTACCCGACTCCATATCCCGTGCTGTGGTTCGAACAGCATCAATGTTCACTGAATAGTTCGATGCATTTCTTGCAGATCATGGATATTCATTCCGTAAAAGGGACCACTGCGGCGTGACAAGAAATCTCCTGTGGGCAATGGCGCGACTGGTCCCTGCTACGTAGTCACTTAAAATGAAACTGATATCATCTCGCAGCGTCTTGAGTTGTCGCATCGCCTTTATTTTACAAAAAAAATCACCTTCCTCAGACAGACAGCGCCTGCTCTCTATTAACCACGTGTTTAGCACCTTGAAACAAGTTTCCTACACTTTCATGATTGGTAATAATCGCTCTACTAAACTACTCTTGACCCAGCCCTGACGAACGTTGACTTTTGTCCAACTGTTATCCATTGTGGTTAGGTGGTCTGGTCCCCAATATAGCATTTGTTTTTGAGGCATCGCTCTTGAAAAAATTGCAAGAAACTTGTATTTTAGGGCGAGTACTCTGATCATGAGAACCATCTTCATTTTTCGAAAGCTCTCTATTTAGTGCACTGTTGAGACAAAGACGGGGGCAATTTTTTTCACACAGGCATTCTGGCAGCGGTGTATCCTACGCTGGTGCGATCATTGGGGGTGCAATGTAAATGGGGAATAAAAGAGGGGTTTTCAGCTGCTCTATAATGCTTCAATTTAGAAGGCGCACTTCACCAAGCGTGCAGTGATGATGAGCCCAGCTAGGAAGAAATTGCCAGGACCTTGCCACCTATCTGACGTCACAAATGAGTGCCATATTCAGGTGAAATCTTTCCATGCATGCTCCTAAATTTCGGTGGAAAAAAGTGGTGCCGCGAAAACTGGACGTAATATCCGTGATCAGGACGTTCATGAGCCTGCAGTCTAATGTGGAGCTCAAGCAGTGAATATCGTTGTTTTGGAGTTGTAATAAATAAACAATGCTCACGTAAATAACTACATGATAACAGTTATTGTGACGCATTACGAACCTTCATCAGGTAACCGGGTTTACGTCCGTAGTAAACAAAAAGATCTGAGAGAGAGTCAAAAAGATGAGTGGTTTCCACCATATACTTTCCGTACATCCGCCGGATAATGATATTTTTGATCTGAAAAGCATAATGTGAGTAACAGTACAGCACAACATTATAAGACTGAGATGAGAGTTCCGTCAATAAATCATCTACTATTTCCGGGCCAACATTCCCTCCCGGCTGAGCAAGCATCCAAACTTATTCCTGCTCATCGAAGATCATCGATGAAATTTTCTGAATGTGAAGATGGTGTAGATGCAAGTAACCTGTTTGCCATGCATTCGGTTATGAGATGCTAAAAACAGCCCAGCACATGGCATAGACTAGAAACTCGCAACAGAGAATAGCCCTCGAAGACTCTTTGTAATAGTACATTGTAAAGAAAAGTGCTTTGACAAATAAAAAAGTATTTGAAAAAATACAAAAAAAACATTCAAGGAGAGCGGATCTGCTCTTGAGCACGACTAGAGCAATCGAAAGCCAGCAGAGGAGCAATCTCCACAAAAGACATATTTCATGACGCTGCAAACGATGAAGGTGTGATATTTAATATACTATAATATAGGATACGCTAGCTGTCGTTTAGCACTAATATTTCCGTAGCTCTGGGTGGAGGGGAGTCACACGATTAACTTTTCTTTATCTCCCTTTCGCGTGATGAAAGCAGTATCCTGCATATGGCTACGGACATGGCTACCAAATGCGTGGGGGTATTCCAAAGACCACTCGATCGCCGAACGTGTCTTCAATGCATCTGTCTGGGGAACCAGCAAACTTGCAGTCTGGAATCACGATTACATGGAAAGCACACACCCGGAAGCGCTCTCAGCATAGTTCCAGCGTAACCGTCCCGAACAAAAAGCGTATCCGCTCGCTCCTTCAAGGGTTTTTCTCCAGTTAGGGTGGGTCTCGTAGTCCACTTCAGTTATGTTCTTTCTAGCAAGAAGTTCGTTCAAATGCTGCACTACTTCGTTAAGACCTTAACGACAATCGCGTTTAGTGCGGAGGCGCCGCGTGGGACTGGCGTTTTTTTTGCAAGCGTCCGCCATGAGGTACCGCTGCTTATATTGTCCTTGTGAACCACTTTGCGGCTATGTCACATTTCGCAAAATGATTGGGCATTCTTGTAGAGAGGGCTATTTCTACGATCTTCAACCACACTGGACACCATATCAGGCTCCTCCGCCCCTACGATACCGCCCATTTTTCAGCCCGTTCGTGATTTTTCAGATTTCATGCTGTAACTTCTGCTCTTCTGGCTTTTTTGCATTTCTGCTTTTTCACATGTATACAATAACAATTTGTAGATGGCCATACCGACACAC